TGCTGAAATTTGTGAGCATAACCGTTGCTTTGCCTCCCCGCAACTCTGCAATTCCTCTTGCGACGCAAATATTTCGGGTGACCAACAGATGCTGACTGCCTTCAACGACGCCTTCGAAGTCAGGTGATTCAGGAGCGCCGACTGAAATAATGACGCTTGAGCGAGGCGGAATGGTGACTTGTTCTTCCAGCACAATCAAGGCATGGTGTCCAGACGGCGTGCGCGGCGGTAGTGCTTCTTCTGTGGATAAGGTTATCGACTTTGTTTTTAGGTTGATGACAGCACCATGGAGGCATAAGAAGTCCATGCCAAGGATGACATCTCTCGAGCAACGCTGTAGGACTACTAAGTCTGTAGGATAAATACGGCCGTTAATGGTGACTCTCGCTGTGCAGATTCCTGCAGGCGTTACGAGATGACCTCCGGCTGTGCGGATTTCAGGGCCTTTACAAGCTGTCCTAACTTTCTTTAACTTCGCGGCGAACGACCCACTGATGACAGAATAGTCGGCTCCAGTATCGACGAGAGCAGTCACACTGTGGCCGTCGATAAGAACGTCGAGGTCGCTAGTTCACCGTCTCGCATTACAGTTAGGGCGTGGCGTCGGGTCACGGCTGCGGTCGGCTTGTTCCGGCTGCTTCCATGTTGCGTCGTCCGGCCACCTTCGGTAAGTGAGCTTTATACCTTCAGGGCTTTGCCTGGTTGGGGTTTGTTTCAAAAAGCTCCGTCGCGTCGGCGTCGTCGTCCGGAGGATCTTCGGTAGTTCGTCGCACAGCAACCGCACCTCCATCGATTGCTGCCCTTAGTTTCCCGGATACGGGCTAGGAGACCGGCCCCGCGTTGGGCCAGAGTACTGTCGGTGGTGCGGTGACGTGCGGCGCTGGGCGACGGCGAGCGCGAAGGGCTTCGTGGTGTCCACCGATTTCCTGTCAGGTAGTCGGCGATGTCACGTGGTCGTTCTCCTGGCTGTGGGCGCGGTGCATTGACGGCGAAGCCACGCAATCCCATCTGTCGGCTCATCACACCTCTGAAAGGGCCGTCATCTTACCGCTAAGTTTATGTGCTAGCGATGCACAGCACAACCACTTCCCTTCGTTGCAGGGGCCGCGCAATAACGTTGGTGTTTTGTTGAGTTAGGCCATGTCGGACGCTGAAGAAGTCGGCTGTTAGGCTTGCTTCGAATAACATTTCGGTATGTTGCTATCGCATTCATTGCTTCAGCCTTTAGGTGCAGCTGTCCCTCTTTCTGAACCTAAGCCACGATCGATGCTAGAGCAGCCACAATCTGCCACGACATGCTTTTCATGAAGCCTACTGTGTGACTGCATGAAGCCTACTGCGTCACGTCCCAGCGCTCGTGTCTTTCGTGTCCTTCTTGTATCTGTGTCGTCGTTTTGTTCTCGCGCTATAACTATCGTCAACATGAACGTCATGTTAGGGACGTCATGACACCCTCTTGCTGTTCTCGGAGACTTCTCGTTAACTTTATTTATACCAAAATTCGCATGTTATGAAACGAGCGTGGGGAAAACATAATTGATATGAATATCATGACATGTATACGTCATGTACGTGAAGACGTACTCGGCAAGGTACGGCATAACTCGGCTTTAGTGGATTAGCAACATGAATTATAGGTCACAACATGAATAGTATGACGTGAATGTCACGCACGTCATTACACGACAACACGCTGTCGTGATGTCATGGTGATCCCTTCTTAGCCTTGTTATATTCTGTAGTGTGCATCAAATGACGTCCGTGTATGGCGAATATAGACGACAGGTGACGACGTCGGTGTTCATGACATTCATGTCATCTATGCAGGGGCAGATCCAATCTCTCATTTCAGGGAGGGCAATTGCATGAAGTAAAAAGCGGAGAGAGAGTGGTCCTGGCTTTTATTTTTAGTAATTAATTAATGCGTACCTAACTTACGTGACCCAAAAACAAGAATACAGCTACGAGGCAGTGTAAACGTTTCTACCAGAAGCCGCATGCGATATTAAGCTCTATTTTACCCGTCAAAAATGTGCGCGTTGGAATTGTGTAAATATGGTAATTTGTGCTTAAAGGTGTTCCACTCATAAGTTAACTTGACTTTCTAATGGTGATGCATTGGAATAACTAAAATAAATTACGGGCTATCACACTACATGTATCACACTATATATAGGCACATCTTGTTTCGCTAAGCTTTTGGAAGCAATGGGGTAGAGCGGGTTGGAGGCACTTGAAGAAGGTGAGGGAGGGCTGGCACCAACGTTTTCAGATGCTGGCACAGGATTTGCGGGAGGAGGGCGATTGCGTTCCCCTCTAGGGTCACCACTGTACGCATCCTAGCCTGAATCACACAAATAACTTGATGTAGTTTCGATATGTGCGTTGCTGCCATGCACTCTTGGTATGGATTCGAAAAGAAGAAGCTGAAAACTCTGATCAGAAAAAGCGTAAAGAGGGTGTTGGGAATCCCCGTGCGAACAAACACTGAAGGGCTTAAGCAGCTAGGTGCTCATAACACCCTAGATGAGATCATTGAAGCCCAAGAGACTGCACAGCTAATGCGCCTGTCGTTTACGCCGGCTGGTAGGGAGATTCTGTCCGTCTTAGGTCTCTGTCCAGTGCTCGTAGAGGATCACCGCCTTCAACTGCCGGATGAACAGCGTACTGCCATCCAGGTCTCTCCGTTTTCGCGAAACGTCCATCCTCAGCACAACGTAGGAAGGCGCCGGGCTAGGGCCATCACATTTGTGAAGAACATCAGGAACGATCCTCATTCAGTGTGTTTTGTCGATGCCCCCAGTACGGTCGCTCAGCTAGGTTTTCTGTTATTTCCGTCAATAATATGAGTTCTATTATCAATGCTGCGTCAGTTAGGGACTCTACTCCCTCAAGAGCCGAACTTCACTTGGCTGTAGCCCTTTTGGATGACAGTAGATCGCAAATCTTCACCGACTCAAGGTCAGCGGTCAAGGCTTTCGCCTCTGGTTTCGTCTGAACCGAAGTATTTAAACTACTTGAAAATAGAAAACTTTCTACACATGCCATTACCTGGTTTCCTGCACATCTCGAACCCCTACTGGACTCTCTAGTAAACCTGAATGACACTGCTCACTCCCGGGCGCGCGCACTAACCCTCTGCGCTGGGTAGACGTAGGCCCGCAGGTTGGCAGTGAGATGTTCAGGGAAGCATTACTTACATTCAGTGAAGTGGCTAAACACTACCAGTTGAGTAGGCGGCCATTTGCTCCTCCGCACAACAAGTTGTCTAGACCTCAGGCCATCACGCTTAGAATGCTGCAGACCAGGTCTTACCCACGCCTATTTTTCCTCAGCATAGTCTCCTACGAGGCTTTTGACTCTACTTGTCCTGATTGTGGTAAGGTTAGTGACTTAGCACATATGCCCTGGCAGTGCCCCTCGTTACGGGGCCCAAGTAGGATCACAGACGAAGATTGGGACTCTGCCTTACGAAGTTCAGAGTTGCTCCCACAACTACGGGCTGTCCAGAGAGCCCACGATGCGGCGGTGAAGCTAGGCCTCCCCGCTCCTACGTGGGAGCGGCCCGCGATGTTGCACTAAAAGAGTAGCGTTTCTCAGGACCCAATAAAGTTCTTTGTCTGTCTGTCTGTCTGTCTGTCTGTCTGTCTGTCTGTCTGTCTGTCTGTCTGTCTGTCTGTCTGTCTGTCTGTCTGTCTGTCTGTCTGTCTGTCTGTCTGTCTGTCTGTCTGCCTCGATATGAGGGCACGACTCGTAATTTGTAAAATACAATATTTATTTATGGCAGTCAAAGAATATGCTTGGTAAACGGCCATACAGATGGACGCACCCAAGCCCAGTTTGGAGCTGATGCAGTCGACTTACATTGCGAGGACAACAACAAGAATGAAGGCAGGGCTGTGTGGAGAATTTTTTTCGGGGAGAGGGTTGGGCGGAGGACGTGCATTGACTTAAGTGGGGGCGGGCGGGCGAATGGTCATTTTGCGCTATGTATGCATGGCGGAAAAAAAATTCCGGAAGAGGGGGGGGGGGGGGGAGGCATGGGCCAGGAGTGCCACCCTCTGGCTACGCTGCTGAACAAAGGTGACAAACTGCACTATAATAAATTTCTGAGATGCCCCAACCTCTGGCCCTGTAACTGTTGCAGCAGAGTAACACTACGACTACAGTGTGGCTGATCCAAATGAATGAGACTACGTCTGTACGCGGCTGCCAGACGACCTTGGTATTTAGGGCGAGAAGAACACCGGGAACAAGGAAAGTGAACTAAAACAAAGAAACTACTGAAAGAAGACGACGCACGCCTGCGCGGATCGCGAGGATGATTTTTCATCACGTGAGCAGGGCCTCCAGTAAAGCTGCTGTTTGCAGAACAATAGCATTAGTCTACGCTGCCAACTCGGGTCGAGAAATTTGAATAGTGACTGCGCCGAGCCACAAGGCTTTCATACGTACTGAATTAAACAAAAAAAAAAATTAAACGAGACTCTTGTCCTTTACGGCGTGTGCTGCTGCTTCTTAGCATGCGAATGGTGCTTCCTGCCAGGAACAATGACTAAATATAAAGAAAGGCGACGAGAATTGCAATCTGCGTGCGGCTCAGTATTCGAATGAGCGCTTCAAGCTGCTACAAGGAAAAGCTTGCCGGGAATATCTAACGCACGTGACAGAGGTGCCGTTTTTTTTTTTTTGCTGTGCTCTTGAGCATCGCGAATATTTGACGAATCGAGCTTGCGGTTGACAGACAGGGTGAAACGCAGATGCTTCTCAAGGCTACGCGTGCTGACAAGGGAAATCACGGTGCGAGATGTGGACCACGCGCAGGAAAGGGTGCTTCTGCCACCGCAGGGTGAGGACACAGTTGGAGAGGATGTGTCAGAACACGTGACTACGTACTTGAGAGGAGGGTAAGGAAGGAAGGAAGGAAGAAAAAAATAAACAGACAGACAGCCCGGGTGAAAACTGGTTCTGGCGGCCTCACCTCGAGGAAGCGGCCCATGTGGCGCCGCCCCGCACACACGGCGGGCACGGAAACTAGACCGTACACCGAGTGTCTCAGCACAACACCACTGTTCGCCCACATCTCTAGCAGACGACGCCTTTCTGAGCACTGGGTGTCGTCGTCTGCTCAGACCACTCAACTTTGTGGCTTGGCTTTGTCATCAAGTTGTTTCTTGCTGTGCCAAACAACGGACAAAGAAGTGGTCCCCGTTTTCCGTACGCGGGGAAGGGTGTTCGCGGCGGCTTGCAAAAGGTGGTCCCCGGGTGAAACGTCTCCCAGCGTCACGTCAGCGTTGCGCCGCGCTCAACGCGGTCAGCGACGCGCGGTGAGTGATCGGTGATGGTGCAGATAAAGGAAAAAAACGGAGATACCTTCGGCGAGAAGGAGTTCGTCGTCATGAAGGATAACATCGAGGAGTTACGCAGGAGGATCTCCGAAGAGGCCGAGAGGGACCCAGGTCAGTGCATAATACGAACACCGGCCGGCGCCGTCCGAAAAAAACAAAAACAAACAAACTGCTCCTGTCAGCGCCTGTCCTTCAAACGTAGGCAGAAAGGAGAGTTTGTTTCACACGCAGATGAAAAACGAGAGCCATTCCTTCGCGTTATTTCTTCCTTTTGGTGTCTTATATTTCGCTTGAGCGTATTTTCTGCATCGTATAGCGAATGAACGAATGGGCAGGCACTTTCTCGCACCTAGCGTGAAGCGCCAATGTTTCCGTTATTCGAAAATGCTACTGCTCGTAAAAGGACGAGCACGCAAAACGTGCGAAACGGCAGAATAAATTTGTTATCTATTCTGACTACTTCATTCGGTCTGTTGCTAGAATTACCGTGCACGAACAAAGGAATTCTATTGCTTCAGTTATGTTCGTGCGTTTCAGTTAAAATTGATGCTATCTATCTTTAAAAAAGCCGACGCGAACCGCATGCAGTGCGAAGCTGATGCTTATTTTCACAGTCGCAATCATAACGAGCTGCCCCGCCGCGGTGGTCTAGTGGCTAAGGTACTCGGCTTCTGACCCGCAGGTCGCGGGATCAAATCCCGGCTGCCGCGGCTGCATTTCCGATGGAGGCGGAAATGTTGTAAGCCCGTGTGCTCAGATTCGGGTGCACGTTAAAGAACCTCAGGTGGTCGCAATTTCCGGAGCCCTCCACTACGGCGTCTCTCATGATCATATGGTGGTTTTGGGTCGTTAAACCCCACATATCAATCAATCACAACGAGCTGAGAAATTGTGCTTTCCGTAGTAGAAAGTCGTATATTAAAGTGTTTCAATAAGGTGCTGTACATAGCATGAAAATGTCAATCGGTAAAAATAACTGGAAAGGGTAAATGCGCGTCGCAATTCAAAACAAGACTCGCGCAAAAGCGTTACTTTGATGCTGGCGACGGTGGATAAAGATTGGCGAGTTGTTTATCTCTTCATAACCGCACACACGTGACTGCTGTCCATTACTGAAAGCTTTAGGTGAGATCGGATGTTTATTCATTCACGCATACGTGACAAGCCTTACAGAAACATTGTGTAAGGAGGATCAGGTACAAAAGGGACAACAATATTGGAAAACATCAAGCAAAACGGCAAGTACTACAAAATATGCACATCTACTCGACGTTATGCTTAGTTCATTCGACGAGTCGTGTGGGCTATGTTAGCATGACGGCGTTGAGCTGCTTGTTAAGCTTGAGTTTGCGAGGGCAACCCCAGGTGCAATGGTCACATTTAACACATTTAAGCGGCAGTTAAATGCTGTAAGGCTCATCCAGACAGATTTTAATGGACGATGAAGCACCTTAGGTGGTCTAAATCAATTCATCGGCTGTCACCCGAAATTAATTATAATTTTTCAGAAAAGACAGATGCTTGGGCTAGTTGGTGATTGGGAATCAACATATTTGTACAGCGCAAGACTACAAGTAGTTACGACGACGTATCTACAGAAGAAGAGACAAGGACAGAAAGAGCGCTGATTTTCAGAGAAACAGCTTCTTCCTGAAGAGAGTATACCCAAACTGGAAGATTCGATATGGGAATTTATTCTTTGTGCAATTCTTCAAGCTGACCGTCCTGCAAGGTCGTTTTCCAACGAAAAGGTCTCGTTCCCAGACTGCTTTTTTCACTGACTGTGTTTTCGCCTTTCCCTACTGCCTTCTTTACGAACTACAGGTAATGTGACTAGCCACCCTACTACAGGTGTCTCGCCCGCCATGCAATCTGAGGGTTCGTTCGAGGTGGGACAACCACATAGTCAGGGGAAAATGTCGTTTTGTAGCACTCGCGTGCCTTCACTGGCACGGCCGCTCGATCTCCCCACACGGCCGGGTCTCGTTGGACATTCCGTCTCGTCGGACATTCAGGCTCTGAATCTGTCACTGGCAGTAGTAATAAAAGCACAATGAACGAGAAAAGCACTCTGGGCACGAGAGTTCTTTTTTTTTTCTTTTTGGTTCGAAAACAACCTTGCGAAAAAGACGCCTTGCAGATTTCTGCAAATGGTCACTGATTCTGTCCTTCACATCGGACATTGAACGGGGATTTCGCACCATCCGAGGATCGTGAAGGGCCGCGAGAGTAGGTACTTCTGCATACGAACATCTAACAAAATCGTAGCGTGCATCGCAGCACTATTGAAAAAAAAAAAGAATCCCAGTGAGCGAGCAACCGGGAAGACACGGCGGTTCTCGCTAATGCGCTACTCCGGAGGCACAAAACAAAGCTCGTCATTTCTTCCTCAATTGCGGCATTCTAGGTTCGCGCTGCGCTGCTTCGAAAAGTATGTGGGTCAGCGAGCGGCGGCCTGCGTCTTGGTGCAGGCCTGTTTGTTGTTTGTGCCGCCGCCGGGCTCGCTTATTTCGGTAGAAAGGAAAACGCGCTGTTGTGATTCCAGCCTGCTGCCGCGTTCACTTTGTTGCCGGTCGTTTTGGGCCGGCGAAGAAGCAACGTGCGACCCCGATTCGCGCTGTTCGGCCGTTCGCTTCTGCTCGCTTAGCTTCCATGGGCTTCGGACTCGCCTTCCGCGAATTGTGGCTCAACAGCTGCGTTCAGATGAGACGCGTTACTCGCTCTTATGCCTGCGCGCTGTACACTTTAGCGCTCGCCTCGTGCCAGCGACTGGTATCGTGACAATAAGTGATTGCTTTTTACGTCCCCGAACCGCGATATGATTATGAGGGATGTCGCAGTGGAGGACAGCGGATGTTTAGACCACCTGGTCTTCTTTAATGCTCACCTAAGTCCACGTCCCACCGTGGTGGTCTACTGGTTATGGCACTCGACTGCTAACCCGAAGGTCGCATTTTCGACGAAGGCGAAAATTCTTGAGGCCCGTGTGCATAGATTTATGGTGAATTCCATTGAGAGAATAGGAATAGAGGGGCAGAGCTCTGAGAGCAAGGCCACTCAACCTGGAATTCGCCGCGCTCCCGGAGGGCAGGTGACGAGTAGGGAGACCATGTGACTGAAACATTCCAAGCCCCGGCATATTCTTTGTGGGGCAGCAGCGAAATACGCGTGAAATCGGTCAGCCACATGTTCTTCATTATCCTAATACCTAGTATGCTTGTGCAATGACTCATTAGGCAAACGTACAGCTGTCATTGTAGCCATCCGTACAAAACGGCGCTGTCTATATACACGTGGTTCCTACCATTGCCACCGCGCTTGCCGGCTGAAAAAAAAACAACAACAAACAAACAAAAAAAAAACATCGGAGGCTGTGACGTTCAAGGACCACGTGACTCGTCGTACTGCGCCTACCGCGCTTTTCAGGCTAGAGCACTGCAAAATGCTCTCGGCGCAGCAAAAGCACGCTCGCTCTACCAATGAATGACGGTGCTCCTGCACCTGTTCGACCACTGAAACACGCCGGCTCTGAACAGAGCACTTTAAGCGTGCTTTTGAGTGCTCCTGCGCTCCCAATAGAATTCGCCATTAGGTGCATGTAAAAAGAAAAAAACCTGGGTGGTCGAAATTTCCAGTGCACTTCACTATACGGCGTCTCTCCGGGAGCCGAGACGTGGAACCCCCGATTTGTATTATCATGATTATTATAAGTCGAAGTACATGGGCCTCTAAGCATTTCAGCTTCGTCGTAATGCAGCCGCCACAGACGGAATTAGGATGAGCAGACGTCGAGCACAGTGACCACAAAACCACCATGATGGATATGCAACCGATATCGTGAAAACAGTTTTGACAAGCCATATACAGCAGGAAACACTGCCAAAAGAAACGAATGAGTATTACAGTAGAGACCGTTCATTTCGGGAGTACATTAAAGGCTGCCTGCTTGAATATGACCGAAACACTCGCATCTATAGACGGAAGGCCTCTAGAAATTGCGTTTATCGAAGGACATCACGGAGCAACATCAAGTTCAGCTCTAGTTGATACGAATCGACGATAAAAGAAGTCGGCATGTGTGCTGCTTTTCCCTCTTGTTCGTGTCTGCACTCCAACATCTTTTATTGCCGCAGTATACTACCATAGCCTCCGCTATTAACTCCACGAGTGCGATGCCGGAACCAATCGTAGAGGCCATGATATAGTACAACCAATTACACAGAGCTGAGCTTCATAATAATAAAAAAAAACAGCGGAGAAACACCTCGAAACGAGAATAAGAACTACACGGGACAAGCGCTCAGTCGAAGCTGAGCTGTATACTGTATGAGCATTTATGAATAAAACAACGTGAAAGTGGAGGGCGCATGGAAATGAAAGTGCCACAGGTGCAGGTCTAGTTTATATTAAACGTAGCACTTCTTTTTTTTTTTTGTATGGCGTATCCGCCTTATGGTGTGTAGGCCATGGTGACGACTGAACCAAAAGTCACCGGTTCGATCCTGATTGTGGCGCTCGCATTTCGATGTAATCGAAACACCACGCGCTGTGCGATGTCACAGCGCGTTAAAAGAACGGCAGTTGGTCCAAATTTCCGGCGTCTTCCACTATGGCGTGCCTCGTGATCACATCGTGGGTTCGGCACTTAAAACCCCGTAACATCGCTCTGGCTCGATCGAACTATCACAATAAGTTCTTTCGCAAAGACCCTCGCCTTTATCGTGTATCACCGTGTGTCGCTTCCGTTTTCTCGGCAACCCACAATTACGAAAGCAGGACGAACAGTTGACGCGTGACAGCTCTCACTTTTTAGAGCCACCGCAGTTCGCAAATCTTAGCCCACGTCGTGTTCTTTCGCTACTGAAAGCGCCAAGTACGTCAAGAACGTACATTGTTGAATGTATTTCACGGATAAGTTTCGGTGCCGCCATATCGGGCTGTTAATCTTCGTAGTATTGCTATCTTGAACAACAAAACGAAATGCTTTTAAATAGATGTATAAGCAAGAGAACAGTTGAGCTGGTGCATTAGAGGTTTCCTGACTTTATCAATTCACGTCACGAGATACAAAAATTATCAAAACATTTGTTTAATAGCAAATTTCGTGGCTT